CCGCGCGACTCTATGGTCCGGGCCGCCTCCCGGGCGCGGCTCCGGCACCAGCGAGACGAGGGGCAGAGCGTCTCCCCCGCCAGCGGGCGCGAGGACCCGGCCCGTTGCCATGGCGGCCGCCGGCCCGCGGTGGGAGCCGCCGCCACCACAGGTGCTCGTCTCCCGCAGCCGGGTCACTCGCAGCCGGCGCGGTGCCGGCGGGCCGGGCCCGAAGCCCCCTCCCCGGGGACGCGGCCTCCCTCCAGAGGGAGCGGTGCCGCCGCACTGCGGCCTGCCGGTGTCCCCGGGCACCCCGCACCCCCAGCCGGCCTCCTGCTTTGGCCCTGAGCGCCCTGCTCCGAAACACCTCCTCGCATCCCAAAGGAAGAAACGTGGGAGAGCCGCTCATCTGACAGGCACCCTCACCCCGCGCTCCCGCTGCCTGGCGCAGGGGCCGGTCCCGCCGGGACAGCGGCCCTGGGTGATAGAGCCTGGCCCCCGACCCCGGCTCCACCCCGCCAGCAGCACTGTCCGGTACCGCTAGCCCGGGCACACACATCCGTTACCCTTCAACACACACCCAGAGCCCATTCTGCTTCACAGAGCCCCTGTTTGAGTTGAGAGGTTCCAGTTTCCTACCCAAATACCGCTGAGCTTTGAGACTGCCTGCACCCGCAGCAGGTGTTGGCAATCGTCCTCAGGTGGAAAACCTTCTGGTAGGGTGGGTGGGTGTGACAGTGGGGGGAAACCCAGCTTAACCCTCCCACTGTTTGACTGTAACGCAGCAGGTAACATAAGCCTGTCTGTTTCCCAGCTGTTTGTCCATAATTGAAGTCAATTTCTCTCCCAAACACTGTGCAAAAACAGCAACAAAAAAGTACTAGCTTTACCTACACTGTGTCTATCTTCTCTTTCATCACGGTTCAGTGAACCCTCTGGTTCAGTGAGAGCTGTGGTGCCAGCACCCATGGGGTGAGCAGGATCTTGACAAGGTTCTCTGAGGAACCCACGGCTGAGCAGCTGCAAACCCAGAGCGTGAGT